TGCAGTGAGTCCCTCATGGTTTCTTGCAAGTCTTTTAGTCTGTTATCCTTTCTGGTTGAGCATGAGAGGCCCATTTGGATTCCCCATATGTTCTTAGCCATCCTCCTGGCCTCTGTCTACTAAACATGGAAAACGCTAGGTGCTCTTGCACTTCATTCTGGGGTCTTGAGAGACTGCACAGAGGGTAGATGGAGGGTGGGACAGGCCATTCGGAGGTTCCTTTGGCAATACGTACCCTGCACTTCCGCTTGTACTCTGCTGGCTGCCCTGTGGTGGAACGAGGCCCTCTGAGAAGATGTCTTATCTAAATTTCAACTTGGGAACCAGCCTTTTCAGCTCTCTGCCTTCTCCAGAGAGGATGGTTCCTGCCAACTCTCCAAGGGTTTTGACCCCTGGAGGAGTAATTTTGAGAATCTCTTCTCAAGATCCTGTACCAACTATACACTCTCTAAAATTTTCCCAAGCTCCTCAACCCCAGGTCAGAAAAGATTCTGCTTTTCTCTTTGTGTGCTGGAGATATGGCTTGTATATCCTCAGACATTTTTCTTCCCCTGTGATTTAAGTTACAAACTCTATGATCTTATTGCCCCAGGATCTGCCTTTGATGAGCTAAAATTACCCCCCTTCTTCAATGCTATTATATCTTCCCCTCTCAATAGCCTATTTTGAATTTCAAAGTAAAGACTATGACTTGCTGAATTCTGCTGGGTTCTTTGGTATATTCCCTTCTCTAGGACAAAAGCTTCAGGCTAGAGATCTAATTTTAAATTTTAAAAAATATATATTTTATTGATTTTTTTTTTTTTACACAGAAGAGAGAAGGATAGAGAGTTAGAAACATTGATGAGAGAGAAACATCGATCAGCCGCCTCCTGCACACCTCCTATTGGGGATGTGCCCACAACCAAGGAACATGCCCTTGACCGGAATCAATCCTGGGACCTTTCAGTTCACAGGCCAATGCTCTATCCACTGAGCCAAACTGGTTAAGGCTAGAGATCTAATTTTAATGGTGAAAATGTTATAGGGTAAAAAGGAAGAATACATCTGTTAATATTTTAAATAACCTTACAGCTACTTACAAGGTATAAACCAAATGACTTAGGCATTCTACAAAATTTTGCCCTTTTGGAGGGAACTGGGAAAACTAGGCACATTTCTCAAAATTTTAAGTTCAAGTAGTTTTTGAAATTTACCATAAAAGGCAGATTTTTCTCTTCCTCCTTGGCTTTGAAAATATTCTCTATGAAACCCCATTCTTTTCCATGATCCTCCATAACCTAGGAGGGTTGGTTGGCAAAATGCCCTATAGTAAGCAATTCTCACTGCCATATACTAGACTGAACTGCCTCCTTGGGGAGAGAGAAAAGCCCTGAAAATGTCAAGTCTGGGATCTTAAAGCTCTACCAGAGAGTCTGTGGGGAATATTGTTCTCTTGGTTGGGGAACAGGCTGGATAACTGGAATGTTTTCCCCCCAGTTGCTGATTTCTAGGATTCAAGGGAAACAGACCTTAAAAGGAAGGGAGGAAATACAATTTTCAAACAAAAGTAAAGACTAGTTATCCTAATATTTTGAAAAGTGTTTTTATGAGTATTTAGCATTTGCTGTTGATTTAATACCACATATATAAGAATCAATTTGCCCTGGTCTGATGGCTTAGTTGGTTGGAGCATGGGCCTGTACACCAAAAGGCTGTGGGTTCAATTCACAGTCAGGGCACATACCTAGGTTGGGAGTTTGATCCAGAGTTGGGGTGTGTATGGGAGGCAACCGATCTCTCTCTCTCTCTCTCTCTCCATAAAAATCTTGGGTGAGAATAAAAAAATAAAAGAATCAACTAGATGCCGATCTTATGAAGCCAGATTTCTAATTACCAGGGAAAGATCAAAACACCCTCAGTTTTATGAGTTCATGATAGTAAACTTGATTTTTCTAATTCCATTCACAGAATGCTTATGACAAATGCAGTGCAAATGGAGATAGAGTCTTTATTCCCAAACTGTTGAATTGTTGAAACGAAACTCACCTATGTTGAATATTACCATAGCAGGTATATACCACATGGAAAAATGATTCATGACTAATTAATGTATATGTTTGCACGCATATAAATATATGTGTGTATACACACACACACACACACACACACACACATATATATATATATATATATATATATATATATAATTTTTGAAAACTGAAAAGTATTTTTACACACTAGGGAGAGTTTGGTATTTTAATCTCTCTAACAATAATTTTACATCATGGATTTGTGGTTGAGAGCCTGTGTGCTGCAATAGAATTGCTTAGACTAGAACCATTGATTAGCTGTGTGACCTTGGGAAAAGTGGAGAACCTTCTTATATAGCAGTAACCAAATTTTAACCGCACCCCAATGGAGTGGTTGTGAGGATTAATTAAAGTCTAATAAAGTCTGTATAAAGTCTAAAATAAAAGTGAACTTTCGTTATAAGGACTAAAATGTGCAAGGCCCAAGCTAGATACTGAGATGCTTATCTCTCTGGCATGATGAACAAGGCTCACGGCAGATTGTATGCCGTGGGCCAGCCCATGCTAATCCGGCAGTGGCTTAGCCCTGGGCGGGTGTTAAATGACGCCGATGCTGATGCTGGATTAAGGCTCTGGACCGCAGAAGCTGGTCAAGCTGTGAGTGCTCTGAGAAGCGGGCCAACCCATCCGTTTTTTTCCATTTATAAAAGGGTGACGGTGTCAGTTGATGTTTTAAATGTTTTCTGATATTTACAGAGCGTTTCAGACTGTGGTTATTCAGCTTCAGGGGCAATTTTGTACAAGGACTGGCACAAAACTGCATGTCTCATTGCCAAATGAAAATTATGGTTAATGAATTCCCCATGAGATCAAGGACGGAGCTGCTTATTATGGTCTGGGAAGGTCAGGAAGGCCTTGGAAGGGAGTGTTTATGAAAGGGCCTTCAAAGGAATTTAAGGTAATCCTTGGGTTAATCCCCCTAATTCAATTTTTAAAATTTATCATTTTAAATTTTCACCTAACAACTGTCCCTGAATGGTATCCTTAACAAAAGATATATATATATATATATATATATATATATATATATATATATAGTGTGCTAAATTATGAGTTTAATAGGTTTCCAGTGTTGATCTGAGTATATAACCATTGATAACATAGCTTCTGTGGGGACAAAAGGAGCACTATGAATTTCAGGCAGTCAATGTATAAATCCTTTTTCAAGAATTCTTTGTGTTTTTTTTTTCAATGATTGTTCAATGAATATTCTTCATGTATCAGATATTGTTGTAGGCACATATGAACAAAAACCACACACACACACACACACACACACACACAAAACACACACCCACACACAAAGATCCCTGCCCCCATGGAGCTGACATTCTAGAAGAGAGATAGCTAATAAACATAATAATTGGTATAGTGGCCCTAGCTGGTTTGGCTCTGAATAGAGCGTCAGCCTGCGGACTGAAGGGTCCCAGGTTCAATTCTGGCCAAGGACATATGCCTGGGTTTCGGGCTCAATCCCCAATATGGGGTGTGCAGGAGGCAGCTGACCAATGATTCTCTTTTATCATTGATGTTTCTATCTCTCTCTCCTTCTCTCTGAAATCAATAAAGAAATATATATATATATAAAAATAATTGGTAGAGTGTATTGGAAGGTGATAACTGCTATGAAAAAAAGTAGAGCAGGGTAAGAGGGATGGGGATGGGTGGTCATTTTACAGTGGCTAGTCATTGAGAAGGTGGCATTGAAGCAAAGTGTGAAGGTAGCCAGCTAAGGCGACTGACCATATCTGAGTGAAGAGCATTTTAGGCAAAAGAAGAGCAGTGCAAAGGAGGCAGGAGCTTACCTGGAGTTTGAGAACAGTGAGGAGGCTGCTGGAAGTGGGCAGAGAGGTAGGGGAGTGGTGGGGACTGAACTTGCTATATCATGTAGCGCTTTGCAGCTTTTGAGAGGTTTAGAGGTCATTCGAATTGGCATGTCTTAAAGTCAAGTCTGCCTGTATCAGAATAATTCCTGCGTTCCCCTGTCTACATCAACTTTAATGTGTTCCTTGGTGTCCCTCAGCCACAGTGTTCTCACCTGGAAAATGAGAATGATAACAACACCCCCTTCACATATTGATATTATGCATATGAAGCACTTAGTAAAGTGCCTAACTCATGATACTCACAAAACACTAGTTGCTATTATTCTTATAATTACTGTTGGCATCCCACCAATGTATCCAATCGTTCTGTGGCCTGGCATTCTGATACTCCCCTTTCCATGCCCTGGAGGCTTTCCAACGAGGCATGGAGGCCAATAGCAGTTGCATCATTCATGATAGATGTCATGGGAACTAATGGGAGAAACTGAAGGTGTTTAGTTTGTTTTTTAAAATATATCTTATTGACTTTTTACAGAGAGGGAGAGAGATAGAAACATCGATCAGCTGCTTCCTGCACACCCACCACTGGATATGTTCCCCCAAGCAAGGTACATGTCTTTGACCGGAATCGAACCTGGGACCTTTCAGTCCGCAGGCTGATGATGCTCTACCCACTGAGCCACACCGGTTTTGGCGAAGGTGTTTAGTCCAGAAAGTAAGATAACCGGACAGACGGGCTGCTCCCTTCCGGATGGCTAGTGTGTGAGGAGTGACACGTGTTTCCCCGGGACCCCGAGGCCCCGGGGAGACATTTAAAGGGAAACACCCGCCTCGCTGGAGCGCAGGGAGCTACACTCGGGGCAGACCGGGTCGGGGCGCCCGCGGGGGTGGGCTCCTGCGCAGCTGCGGCGGCGGCGGCGGCGGCGGCGGAGCCAATCACTGCGCGCGGCGGCCCTCGCGCGACCTCCGGTCCCACAGTCGTGACGTCGGCGGTTGCCATGGCGAGGCCCTCCGCTTGGGGCCCGCGAGCTGGCGCCTGAGGCGACCGGGCCGGCCCGAGCGTGGCGGCTTTGAAGCCGCGTCAGCCACGGCCACCACCGCCATGAGCGGCCGAAGTCGGGGCCGAAAGTCCTCCCGCGCCAAGGGCCGGGGGGGCCGAGGCCGGGGCAGAGGCCGCGCGCGCGCCGCCCCGGAGCCTCCGGACCCCCCGCAGGACCCCCCGGAGGGCCAGCGGCCCCGGGAGGACGCGCCGGCGGCGGCGGCGGCGGCGGCGGCACAGGTGCAGGCCGGCGCGGGGTGGGGCGGCCTCTGCCTGGAAGGCGCCGCGCTCCCGGGGCCGGAGGAGGACCCCTCCCGGGTCCCGCTGGACTGTGGCCTCGCGCTGCGAGCGGCGGGGGAGCGCGGGCAGGCCGCGGCCAGGCTCGGCCTGGGCCTGGGCCTGGGCAGGGCCTCCTCCCTGTCGGAGCGCCTGGCGGCGGACTCCGGCTTCGTGGGCGCCGTGGGCGCGGTGGGGAGGCTGCGGGGCGGCCCCCGCGTCCGGAACCTGCTGCGTGGGCGCGCGGGGAAGAAGGCCCCGGCGGGGAAGCCCAAGACCAGAGACCCCGCCGCCGCCGGGGAGCGTGCATCGGCTCCAGAGGAAGAGGAACCGACGGTGGAGGAGGAGGAGGAAGAGGAGGAAGAGGAGGATGCAGGGGCAGGGACCCCGGCGAAGGCGACGACGGCGACGACGACGACGGATGGCGGCATGGACACGCTGGAGAGCGTCCAGCAGAAGCTGGAGTCCATGAACGCGCAGGCCGACAGGGCCTACCTTCGCCTCTGTCGCAAGTTCGGGCAGCTGCGCCTGCAGCACTTGGAGCGCAGGAGCCTCCTCATCCAGAGCGTGCCCGGCTTCTGGGGGCGCGCTCTGCAGAACCACCCCCAGCTCTCCTCCTTCCTGACCGGCAAAGACAGAGAAGTGCTGGGCTACTTGAACAGCCTGGAGGTGGAAGAGCTCGGCCTCGCCAGGCTGGGCTACAAGATCAAGTTCTACTTCGAGCGCAACCCCTACTTCCAAAACAAGGTGCTCATCAAGGAATACGGGTGCGGCCCTTCGGGTCAGGTGGTGTCTCGTTCGACTCCAATCCAGTGGCTCCCGGGACAGGCCCTCGAGTCCCTGAGCCAGGAGAGCCCGGACAACAGCCCCAGCTTCTTTGCGTGGTTCGCAAACCACACCTCCATCGAGTCCGACAAGATCGTTGAGATTATCAACGAGGAACTGTGGCCCAATCCCCTGCAGTACTACCTTCTGAGTGAAGGGGCCCGTGCAGAGAAAGGGAAGGAGAAAGGAAAGGAGAAAGGGAAGGAGGGCAGGCAAGGCCCAGCGAAGCAGCCAGTGGAGGCCCCTGAGCCTGGATCCAACAAGTCCAAGTAATCTCTGCACAAGTCTCCCGACTACCTCCTGCTGGACCACGGGTGTTTGGCTGGCTGCCTTCTCTTCACGTGGGCCTCTGTGCACTTGATCCCTGTGAACTTCCGGTTCCAAGAACATGGCATTTAGGATCATGTTCTTTTGCCTCCCCAGGGCCTTGCTTTTTTACGTTAGTGTCCCAGGTTCTAGGATCCCACACCTGTTGTTTATCTGTTAAGCACACACGCTCCAGATGTGCACTGCCTTTATCTACGTGCCTGAGCCCTGCTCTTGGCTCAGGCCTTTCCTGCCTGTCTTTAACATGGACATTCATGAGGCCTTCTCCAAGAGGACCCTTGCGTCTTTAAGCTCTGCTCCTTCAGAGCCTTTGACTTGAGCGGGCTTTGTGTTCACGGTGGCCATGCATACCATACATGGAAGGATTGCTACTGTGAAATGGAGCTAGTGCCCATGGTACTGGCCATCAGCCAGAACTTCAATGGCCCGGGAGTCACTAGCCAAGGCACTGGCCAAGGGTCCATGCTATCCTGCCGGATATGCAGCATACTGGCCCTTGACTGCTGGGCACGGATGAGGTTAAGGGTGAGAAGCAGTATGGTGTGTGTTCTATTCCAGTGTGTGTCTCCTCCTGGCTCTGGGCCCTTCCACTGGAGAGCCTTCATCAAGCTCTGCACCGTGCCTCACTAATTGAATTTTGTCCAGGTTGTTATCAGCCCCAGTTGGCTTCCTGTTCAACAAGGACCTCCAGAACACCCTGTTGATGCAACATCCCCTGCCAGTGCAAGACACACACCCACCTTCCAAGGCTGGGGCCTTCCAAGAATCCTATTGGCTGTCAGACTGATGGGTGGGCTGGTATGTGTGGACACGTGGTCTCTGTCATTATTCTCTGGCTCCAGATGAGGGTGGGGACTAGAATCACAGAATCTAGGCACCTTTTTCAATTCCCCTTATCAATTTATGACACACGACCAGAATGCTATAGTGAGTTTGCTGGGGAAAGGTATTTCTGACATGTGAGTTTATGTCTACTTCATTTCACACCTCCATATTTTTTTTTGCTCTTCATGTTAACTAATGAAGAACTTGCTTTTCCTTCTTTGCTACTGCCTTTGAATACCCATAGAAATAGGCTTCCGTCTCCAGTATAGGGGACTCTCAAGACTCTGTTGGGGTATGGAGACAGGGGTGGGCAAAGTCTGTTCTGGATCTCCAAGACTGATTTCCACCGGGTATAAAAGCTGAGCGGGGCCCTCATCCTTAAGGGCGGGGAAGTAGGACTGTGTCTACCTGGTGTACTTGCCCTCCTCCTAACTTCCCTTCCCTTATGGAAGACCTCACTCTGAGTTCTGTGGAGGCTTTGACTTAGAGTTTTAGGGAGGGTATGCTAGGCAGGGGAGTTGGAGCAGAAATATAGTAAAGGAATGAGTCTTGTTTGGAATGGGCCTGGAAAAGTAGATAGAAATGGCTTAAGAAAGCTCAGGGAGAATATGCCTACCTCTCAACGATGGAGGGGACCTGGAGGGACCATCCCGAGGGTGGGAATGGTAGAAGTAAAGGGATTGCTGGCAAATACATGGTAACAGGATGCATGCACTGAAGGTGAGGGTATGCCCAAAGTTTTGTCCTGTGTTTATTTCATCATTAGTACCTTTTATAAAGAAGAGGAAAACAAAAACAGAAAGATATTACTTTGGATGCTTTCTTTTTTGTTCTAGGTGTTGCCTTATGTGTGTGGAAGATTAATGCTATATGCTGCTTATTTTGCCTCAAAAGTAAAATCTCACCATGGTCCTCATTTTTGCCTAATGGGAAAATAGAGCCCTATCGACTGCTTTGTATTTCTTTTAAACTTTTTTGCTCTTTATTATGGACGTTTTCAGACATGCACAGAAGTTAAGAAGATGATCCATGGACCCTATGCACCTATCTACACCTAGCTACGTTAATTGTTAATTTATGATCAACCTGGTTTCACCTGTGTATCCCTCTTCCTGCCTGTATTGTTTACCAGAAGTCCAAGACACTGTGCAATTTAACTGTGACTACTTTGGGAGGTTGGGATTCTCTTTTGGTGGAGATAGTGGTGGGGTACACTATTATTATTGCACTAGGCCTGCTTTTTGCTCTTCATGTTAACTAATGAAGTTCCAGAGACAGGCCTTAGAATTGCAGGTCTCCAGAGTTAATGAGAAATCTCAAAAAGAGGTGACGGGGATGCCCCCTTCCCCCTCCCTTCCCCCACATCCGCAAAAGGAGAGAAGAACTGTTCTGTTCAAACTCTTTCAGAAACGGATAAGATGTGGTGCTTACTTGACACCCGTCACCAGAATATTAGTCTTTCTTTCTTGAGTAAGACGGAGATTCCTGTAACTGTTAGAATTGTTATCATCTTGCCTGGTCTCATAATTCCAGTCCTGGAAGTATAATTTGGAAACTGTTGCTGTGTTCTGTGAAAATAACCTCTCAAAAGCAATCAGTAACTGGCTGTCTTACTTGCTAATTTGGCATCCCGGTAATAATGCAATTATTTCTTCGTTCCTAGACAGTATAAATAGTTATAAACTTGCATGCATGTTGGTAAAATAAAAACCTATATCTCTGTTATATTTTTCATTTTCAAAAAGGACTTAGAGGCTGGGTAGTTGAGGGGATGTATACATTGGCCTAGATGAATGATTCCCAAGCCTCGGTCCTTGTGTGACCTCTATAACAATATATAAAATTTTAATTCCCATGCTCTTATCAGAGATTGAGATTCTGTGATTCTAGCAGGAAGCCAGGTAGTCTTGTTTTCCACAAGCTTTCTGAGTGATTCTAGTGGAAATCTAGTGCTTCTCAAATTTTTTTAGTTCATCTGAATTGTGTGGGGAATTCTATTAAAATACTGAATTTTGATTCAGTAGTCTAGATTGGAACCTGAGATTCTGCATTTCTAATAAACTTCCAGGTGATGCCAGTGCTCATAGTTTGTGAATTGTGTGGGAAAGAAGATGACCTTCAAGGCCCTTTCAGACTAGAATAACAGTATTAAATCTTGGTTGCACATTAGAATTATCTGGGAAGCTTAAAGAACTATACTGCCAGAGTTCCACCAAATACCAATTGAATCAATATTGGGGGCTGGGGAGAGAGGGGTTGGTCCAGGTATAAGAATTTTTAAAACATGTCTAGCTAGAGTTGAGAAGGATACAAGGATCATTTTCCTTTAATCAGGAGCAGCAGCATCAGATAACCGAATGCCACATAAATCTGTCTTGCAGGAAATGGAAAAATTAGAAGTGGGTTGTCAGAAGAGAATAAAATTGGGTTGTATGGTGAAGAACTTGAGTCAACACATGTGCAATGTTCAGGCCATTGTAGGAGCTCAAATGTTGAATGAATAAATGCATTTAAACATTTTATATTCGGATGCCTCAAGGCTAGGCTGGTAATTTGTGAAGTGGGCCAAATTTGTTTTAGTTTGCACCACAGGATGGGTGGCTTAACAATAGAAATGAGTTTCCTTGGTTTTGGAGGCTGGAATCTGAGATCCAAATCCGTTATGTTATTGTGGGTTACAAAAGAGTGATTTTCTAGACTTGGCATTTCTTTTATGCATTTTAGCTGGTGTTTTTCTATAAGGAAGACTTCACCCTCATCATCTGACCATGAACTATACTTCCTTCTGAAGAAGTAATAAAATTCTTAGCTTGTCTCTTTAATTACCAACTGTCAGCATCTGAAGTTGATGGAATAATCATCACTAATGGTATCAAATAAGGACATGTTTTTCTTCTTGTCTGTTTGCTATCACTCTGGGCTTGTTTTAATGTTTTCCAATCCATTACAGTCATCTTTTCTCTGTTCAGTTAACCTACATTTTGCTGCTAAGTAACTTTTAACAGACTCCTCTAGTCCTTGTCCCTGATTTTTTCCCATTGCCCTCCCCCTCCCCCCAGTGCTGCACTCCAGTCAGTGAGCTCCTCAGACCCCGCACATTTGCATGAGCTGTTCACCCATTGAGAAAGCCCTGGCAGCCCCTCTCAGGTGCTCAGATGCAGCTAGGATGTCATTGTTCTGTGCCATACTTCTTAAGCTGTCAAGGCTCACTGAGTCCCTCCCTTCTTGTCCATATGTCAACTCATAGTACCTGTCATAGTGACTTGTTCTTGTCTGTTTACCTGTGTGCTCCCACCAGAGACTGTAAGATCCTTGAGGCTGCAGAATAACAAGCAATATGCCAATCATTTTTGTATTCCCATAGCTCAGGGGTTCATTAGGCACTGAACAAGTGAGCAAATGAATGATCTCTAAAGATTCATGAAGGTATTGGTGATAAACTACAGAGAGGTCAGAAGTGTCCAGGAGTAGAGATTGGAAATAACTTCAAGTGCAGTAGAACCACGGGGGAGCGGTTACCTGCACAAAACTTCAGTCAAAAACACTTAGTGGCACCAAATTACTCCACAACATATTGGGAGTCAAGTAGGAAAATGGAAGTGAGCAAGAAAGTACATGAAAAATGCTGAAAATGTACCAAGTATACTGTGTTTCAGCAATATTCCGCAGCACACGCGTCTGTCATCAAACACAAGAAACAGGAAGTTGCTGGAATCCTGGCAATGACTTCACTTGGGATCTATCACTCTCTTTATATGGACTATATACATAGTCTGAGATCTCCTAAGAGGCTACTTGAATTGAAACTTCAAAATACTGGGTTACTTATTTATTGAATTTATTGGGGTGACATTGGTTCACAAAACCATGCAGATTTCAAGTGTATAACTCAATAAAACATAATCTGCACACTGCGTCATGTGCCCATGGCCCCAAGCAGTCTCTTTCCCTCCCCATTTCCCCTCCCTTTGCCCCTCCACCTAGCCCCCGCCCCTTTCCCTCTGGACATCACAGTATATATGTTTTTTGTTGTTTTGCTTTGTTTTTTGCTTAATCCACTTTTCATCTAGTCCCCTGACCCTCTTAACGGCTGTCAGTCTGTCCCATGTATCCATGCCTCT